TAGAGGAAATTTATTTTTTTGCATACCAATAGAATAACATTCTACCTCAAATAAAAAAGAAGGAAAACTTTCCATTTGCAAAAATATGAATAGACTTGGAGAACATTATGCTATGTGAAATAAGCCAAACATAGACAAATACTGTGTGATCTCATTTACATGTAGAATCTAAAATAGTCAAACTTATAGGAGCAGATAATGGTGATTGCCCAGGGCAAGGGAGAAGGGAAAAGGGGAGGTAACGGTCAAAGAGTACAAAGTTTCAGTTATGCAGGTTGAATAAATTCTGGAGATCTGCCATGTAGCATAATGCCTTTGGCTAACAATACTGTAATGTATACTTAAAATTCTCTAAGAGGGTAGACGTCTCATTAACTATTCTTACCACAAATGAAAAAATGATAATAATAAAAGAGATGGGAGGGAGATTTGGGAGATGCTGGATATGTTGGTGGTCTTGATGGTGGTGGTGGCTTCACAGATGTATGTTTATCCTCAAACTCATCAAATTGTATATTAAGTATGTATAGCTTTTTACACATCAATCATACCTCAATAAAGTAGTTTAAACATAGCAACTAAGTGTGTGGAACATGACAGTTTAGGAAGAGTAAAGATATATTTGAAGTTTCCATAATGGTCACTAAATAAATGTTAAGTTTGAAAAAAAAAGTTTAAAATGACAAAGTTTGTTTTAGAGCTGTATATATACCTAGCACTTCAAATATATCTTTCCTAATACATCTTAACATTTGGGGACTTACTAAGCATTCTTAGAAAGATACTTTACAGTAAAAAATTATATTTCTAGTATCTCTGTAATCAGCCTACCAATTTTCTTCTTGGAACCACTTCAGTGAGCCTGAGAAGAGAAAACTCTTGAGATCTTCTTAACTTTTTGACATACTTCTTTTAGAGATTTGGAGGTATCCTTGGAAGTTTCCACTGTGATGGCTTGGAGCTTACTTCTCTGACACTGCTGGCACCACCATTCTCTCAGGGGCTCAGCTCAGACTTCCGTGTGACTCATCCATCCATTTCCCTCATCTCTCACATCTTGTCAGTTGACAAATTTAGTTGATGGAATCTTCTCAATATCTCTCAATTCACTTTTTATTTCCTTTACCACTAATCAGATCAGACCCTTGTGACTTAAACTCGAGCATTATAAAACCTTTTAAATAACTTCTATATCCACAGGATTTCTTTTCTCTTTTCTATCCGATGGAGAGAAAAGACCTGGTTTTGATTATTTTTGAAATCTAAGCACTTAGCCCAAAGCAGATAGGCACTAAATGTTTGTTGAAAGAGGCCTGGTTATATTGCTTCTCTCTTCAAAAGCTGAAATGATTTCATGTTGCCCATAGGTTGAAACTCTCCTCAACCTGGTGTTACTGCATATGAGTCTTCCTTTCCACCTCATTTCTCACACTATCCAGTGAAAGACCACTCATATTCACCATTGGGCTCTCACTGATTTTCCCATCCTCCATTTTCTGAATCTTCATTTGTCACAGTCCTATCAATATTTTCACACGCTATTCCATTGACATCTCTCTGAGGCCACCCCAGATTCTTCTCACATAATTGGTCTTTCTTTCCTGCTCTCCCAATGACTTAATAACTCTATTGTGGCACAGTCTGTCTTTAATTACAGCTCTTGAGTGGACAGGGTTTCATTATAAGTGCCAATTTTGATTAATTGGTAATGGCAGCCTACAGCACTGTATATTAGAAAAGATTATAAGGGTATACTTAGATTCCTCATGACAGAAGATGCCAAAACAGATCAGATGCCATCCATGGGCACAGAAAAAGAGAGGGAAAAAACCACCTATGAATACCCAACTTTGTTATTTACCCCCATGTTTGTGTCTACTCAGCTAGATCATGTGTCCTTAAAGACATCTTCCTCTTTTCATTGCCTCTGGTCACAATTTGTGTTCAATTGATTCTTTAACACTCTATTCCCTGATTTTAAAAGTTTACCATCTAAAATGTCAAATATGACATTTGAGATAGAATGTGATAATGGACAAGAAAGATATAAGTGCTAATGAAATGACCCTTGAAGACTGGGTAGGAAGACATAGAGAACAAGAGGGGGGAGGGCAAGTATTTATTCAAAGGAAATGAAACCAGTATCTTGGAGAGAGATCTACATTCTCAAGTTCATTACAGCATTATTCACAACAGCTAAAATATAGAAACAACCTAAATGTTTGTCATTGGATGAATGGATAAAGAAAATATGATACATACACACAGAGGAATATTATTCAGGCTTTTAAAAGCCAGTAAATATAAGTCCAGCGAAGTTATCTCTTAACTGAGTGTTAAATTCTAAAACAGCAAAAGTGAAAAACCTAATATAGTTAAAATTACCTATGAAAATACCTCAACTCGACCATATAGTATAATACATCTTAAAATATACCAGGTACCTTATAAATTATTAACTTTAAACTTCAAGAGGTACTGTGTAGAACAATGAAAACTACCAAATATGCAGCCATCTGAACTTTCAAACTTTTCTTTAAAATTCCTATCAAAGTACTAGAGGAGAATGCGGGGGGAAGGGGGTAGGAAATGTCTCCTTTCCTATAGATTTTATTCCATTTTTAGAAAGTGGTAAATTTATCTACAGTTAGGATTTATGACTTGGGCTTATTTTGAAATAAGGTATATACAAGAACATAATGGAAGGCTTGGAACATACTTGGTGCTTCACAGATGCTTGCTAGATTTGAATTTAAATTTTACTTATTAGGGATCCCTGGGTGGCGCAGAGGTTTGGCACCTGCCTTTGGCCCAGGGCGCGATCCTGGATACCCGGGGTCGAATCCCACGTCGGGCTCCCGGTGCATGGAGCCTGCTTCTCCCTCTGCCTGTGTCTCTGCCTCTCTCTCTCTCTCTCTCTCTCTGTGACTATCATAAATAAATAAAATTAAAAAAAATAAATAAATTTTACTTATTAACTAGACCCACATACAAACTATTTTTTGAAAAGTTGTTTAGAAGACCACTATTGGCTTCCTGTCTTTCCTAGTTGGCATCTTCTGTGTGGTGCAGTGAACAACTGTCACTCTTGCCATTTACACTAGTTACAAGACACCCTACCATAGTTCCAGAAATGTATATTAGAGGGAGAGAACATTTTTTGCCCTCCAAACTTGAAAATTGGTAACATCCTATCCTAACTAGCAAAATATGGGAAATATATTAATATGGGAAATACTTCCAAAAGTAGTATGAACTATTTAAGCTTTTTTGGAAAAATTCATCTTATATGTGAAATAAAATCCCAAGTCCTTGTAGTGGCAAGTACCAAAACCAGCTCATATGTTCATCAATAGAGAAATAATTGAAGAAATTATAGTACCACACTGTGGAAAATGATGTACCTTAAAAAAAAATAACTGGATAGATCTGTATGTATTGATTAGCAAAGTGCCCATGACACTTTTAAATTAAAGAAATTGTGAAACAATAGGCAACATATAATACTTAAAAAAAAAAAAACGGAAAACTCAACCAAAGAAAAATAAGCCTATATGTATGTATTTATATAAGGCCTTCAAACATGTGGAAGGATATATGCTAGGTTGTTATAATTGGTAACCCCAAGGAAGTGGGGCAATCTGATATTTGAGGGAAGAGCAAGACAGTCGTTTCACCTTTGTTTCTCTATTGTTTGAAAGCCTGATCCAAATTAGTGGTAATAGGAATTAAAAGAGAAAGACCATCAGGAGTTGGGATGGCAGTGGAAATGGAGTGGATGGGATTTGGCAACTTTTTGAGTGTGGTGGAGAGGGAAGCGAAGAGGTCATTGATTTTAGCCTGAGCCACTGGGGGAACAGTGCTGTCATGTGGGAACAGGGGTTCCAGGAAAAGAATTGGAATTTTTTTTTTTATTGTTACCAGAGGAGAGATGAGGAGTGTGGGTTATCTGTCAAAGTTGTGCTGCTTCTTATTTTAAATGATAATTGCTCCTATAGGAAAGCTTCTTTCTTGGTCTTGAAACATGGAAAAATAACTGCTTTATAATTGTATTTCATATGAACCGTAGAACTAGAAGAGTCAGACCAGCTTCTAAATTTTTACCTTATCCATGCTTATCATTCCAAAACAAAAGAATATTTCTTTTTGAATTGGAAGAGAAATTATAGGTATTTAAAATCATTTCAAATATGCAAAGAAAGGTAAGTTTTCCTGTTGTATGTGGCATAAAGTATAAAACATCACCTATACAATTTTTACTCTGTTTCTTTTGTTTTAATTATAGCTATTCCTCTTGCAAGTGTTTATTTAACATAATGCCTATAAATTAATAGTGTATTATTACAAAGGATATTCTACAGGGGTAGCTTTAGTTCTAGAAATAGCTTGTGCACTTTTATTCTACAGAAAGCAGCATTAGAAATTTAGCCCCACTGAGTATTTATTTCTTGCAAATACTGTCAAAATGCTGGGTAAATTTATTTCTGTATAATTACATCATATTTTATGTTGGGATTGAAATAGAAGAGTATAATCCATCAGTATGACCCTTTTGTACAGATAAATGAGCCAACACAGTTACCTGAATAAATCACTTTAATTTTCAGCTCGGTTCTATGGAAATCAACTGTTCTTGCATACCTTTATTCTCCATTCATCACTGATTTTGTTTTTACGTGAGACACTATTCTTATGTTAGTCTTCCTTAGTTGAGTTATGTGGGGCTCTCCATGGGGAATGTTTTTCATATTATATTTGTTATCTCGAATCTGAGTTAAAATAAGGATTCCCATAAATACCATGTTTTTATTTTGATTCTAAAGAATTTCATGAATTTAAAAACCTTCAGAGAACTGGGTGGTTATGGCATGTGAATGTACAGGATGATTCACTTTATTGACTAATTCTTCCAGTTTGAATGAAGCTGTATATGGTCCCCCACTGGAAGAAATAGGAAAGAAACAATAAATTTAATATTTTGTATATTTCTTATTTTTCAGAAAATAAATACTGCTGGAACCAGTAATGCAGATGTCCCCTTGGCTGATCCCGGAATGTACCAATTGGACATCACATTAAGAAGGGGTCAAAGTTTAGCTGCCCGAGATCGAGGAGGTAAGAACATAAGAGCAACATCACCTGAAACTCATTCTCTGTTTTTTTAAAAGATTTTATTCATTCATTCATTCGAAACAGAGACAGAGAGAGAGAGGCAGAGACAGAGGCAGAGGGAGAAGCAGGTTTCCTGCAAGGAGCCCGATGAGGGACTCGATTCAGGATCCAGGCCCTAGCTGAAGGCAGACATTCAATGGCTGAGCCACTCAGGCATCCCAATTCTATGTGTTTTTGACAAATTTTGTTTTCCTTGTAGTTGCTTAAGTAAATTTTTAAAAAAAAGACTTTAATATTATAATTTTCAACATATGATTTGAAGCTTTATTTGACTCCTGTGACCATGAAGGAAGAGGTTATGATGCAAATTCAAAAAACTCTGAGCTGGTCCTGACCCAAACAATATAGTTCCTACCAAATTGCTGACAAATTAGACTCTGCCATATATATTATTAGAGACTTAATTGGCTAGTAGATGAGGCACATATTTGCAGCCATATCAGAATACCATTTGGCAGACCTGAAATTCTTGTTGCTGCATAGATTTGCACAGTTGAATCTGCAAAAATTGCAGAATCCAGGACAAACATTTCACCAAAACTTTGGAGATTCCCACCAGTGATTTTCTGAGGCTTGGTTGGACCTGGCAGTAGTCTCATGGTAGGTAGGCCATGATGAAACAACAGACAAGGCAAATACTCTCTGGTTTCTGGATTCCAAATCTCGAGGCAGTGTCCTGGTGAATTAGCCTGGGCAGCATTAGGGATTCCTGGAACCCACATTCAAGGCAGCATTGGGGGTGGACCCTACATAGACTATCCTTTTCACAGTTCAAAATTTCAGCTATTTAGGATATGGAGACCCGAGGGCCCTGAGGACCCACAGTTCCAAAGGAAGCTAACCTTGAGCGTAACTGCTCCAACAAGGAAGGAGGGGAGTCCCCAAGCCTCTAATAGGTGTCAGATAACCTGAAGGGTGCTCCTGACATCATGTAGTCTTGTTTTTCTCCTCCCACCTTTTTTGATATCCACACTTAGGGTGTGGAAGGAACCAAATTAGGACTACAGTTTATAATTCTATCTCCTGTCTCTACAAGAATAAAATAGAGAAAATATTAGTATAATAGTGGGTTTTTAAAGACTAAAAACTATAAAACTAATAGATTTAATTTTTGATTAAAAATCATTAAATATCAGAACATGCTTAATGAATGAAGGTGTGATTGGGAATGTAGAATTTTAACACATTTAATTTTCAGAATTAACCATCTGGTTAAGTAGCTGAGGACAACTTTTTATTGAATTGAACTGCTTGTCTGAAAAGCAGTTACAATGAGATTGGAGAAAGAAAATAACCCTATTAACACAGTATTATTTTGTTGGATATATTTATATGACTTTTTTCAGTTTTCAGAGTACTCTTAATTATATTCTGTTGCATCACTTGATTTAAAACAGATTTGAATCAGCCATTAGAAGGTCAAAATTTTAGTCCTAGATATGGTTTTGCAACAATATTAAGTCATATGTATGTAATTATCTAATAAAAATTGTTTGTAATTATGAAATGCCCATAAATAGGAGAGGTGGTTAAGTAAAGCATGGTATATCTACATGATGAAATATTATGCAGCTATAAAATAAAGAATAAAGAAAATCTTTAGGAATTGATATGAAAAGAGTTACAGAAGGATGCCTGAATGGCTCAGTTGGTTAAGCATCTGCCTCTTGATTTCAGCTCAGGTCCTGATCTCAGGGTCATGGGATCCAGCCCTGTGTCAGGATCTTGCTCGGCAGAGACTCTGCTTGAGATTCTCTCTCTCTCCCTCTGCCCCCTTACCCCTGCATGCAGTCTCTCTCAAGTAAATAAATAAATCTTTAAAAAAATAAAAGAGTTACAGAATATATTATTAAGTGACAGGCAAAGTACAAAAGATTATTGACCATATAGAATGTAAGAAAGAAGAGAGTATTAGAAATTACACATTTTCTATTCACTTATTCAAAAACTATATCAGAAGTAAAATCCAGAAACTAATGAGATTGGTAACATACATAATATAGGTAAGAACAGGTGTCAAGAATGAGTAATGGGAAAGGGTAAAAAGAGTGGAGGAATTGATTTTTCTGACTAAAACTCGTATAGTTCTAACCCTTAATTATGGCAGTATATCAGAACCAACTAAGTAAACAAGTAAATATCAATCAGGATGTGGGAGGAACCCAAAATTAATTGTAACTACAACCATACCTTAGGGGGATGAGTGCTAAAACTACTCTAAAGTGATCATGTAAAACAGTATTTGGATTATACACCATAAAACCCAAGACAAAAAAAAAAAAAAACATTGTACAGGATGTACTCTAGAGCACGACTATCAATTCTGGAACTCTGTAATGTGTATACTGGGACCAAACAAATAAGTAAATATATTGTAGATAGATAATGAGAGCCAGTTTTTCCACTGTTGGAAAAAGAAGTTGCAAAAATAGAACAAGGGAGAGATGCAATGAACCTTCTGGCTTTAGAGAGGCATCAGTATGAACTCATGGTTATTAATATAGATACAGAAAGAAATTAAAATGGATAGAGGTGTGTGTGTGTGTGTGTGTGTTTCATCTCTCCACTGACAAGGTCTAGAAACAGTTGTAACTGTGTAATGACAGAGTAGCATTCCACACATATTGAGCCCAGATTTTGGTTTCTAAGTACAATTTTCCCAAGAAAAGTAAGCAGTGCTCCTGGAGAAATGGTTGATTGCAGATCTGGGGAAGGGAAAGTACAAGATGAACCTGGAGTATTTTACAGTCCCAGACAGCAAGGAAGCAAGGAAGTAATAAAAAGTTGATGGCAGAATGTCAAAACAACATAGAAGCCAACTTACAAGAGCTCCTAATAATCAAAACCTGGACAATTTTAGCAACAAAATAAATGATGGCAATAATGAATTCTAACCCATAGAATAATATAAATATGAATTCATGATGGTAAGTAAATAATTGAATAAATAACAAATGGGAGAGAAGGTACAGCTTTCCTTCTGGTAGAATTCCAATAAACTAATGAGGAAGAGAAAATAAAAATAGAAAACCACTTTTGAACAAACAATATAGATAGTAACATGTTGCAGGCAAAAATCATCAATAGATGCTAAAATTATATGTGCAAAATTATGATGAGAAATAGAAAATTTGCATCATTTCAAAGTGTTTCCTAACAATATACATATGAATTATAAAGGAGGAAATAATAACTTTCCAGTGGAGAAAGTTGGAAGACACCACCTTAACCAAGGAATGAGAGAGACAGATATCACGGATCTCCTGATATGAGGCACATCATTTCTCTGACAGTCTTGCCTAAAAACGCGTAAAGTCAATGGGATCATGAGAAAACATCAGACATACTCTGCCAATAGAGGATACTAGTTACCTGAACTGAGTAGCAGCTGCCCTGGGGGCAGGGGACGGGTGGGGGGGCACACAGTCTCGTCCCACAATTCCATATCTCCACAGTTGTCCTTCTGGATGGCTCTGGACACACATACCATCTTTCCTAAAGTTGCAAATTACTCTCTATGGCTGTCTCTTACCAAAAACAGGAATTTCTTGAAGGTAGAACAAGAGGGCCATATTCTTAAAAAAAATAGGAAAAAAATACTTTGTGGAATTGAAGAATATCCCAGTGTGTTTAAAATACAAACTCCAATCCATTTTTACTATTTTACTTCTTACTTAGCCTGGCATTTAGGAGGTTTTTATTGAGTAGATCTGAGAAGAGATACTTCAACAAAGGTAACAACCTGAGTTAAACATCGGATTGATGAAAATTTATCTTAGACCCACCTGTGAATGACAGGTGTGTTAAGCATGTGACTGGATAGGTTGTCTTGGCTGACTTTACACTTGTGAATTTATATACATACAGGACAGTTAAATGGAGATGGATAGTTCAAAGTGAGAAAACAAGCGAGGAAACACTGCAGGCATGTGGAAGTATAGTTCTGAGGGCCTGAACTGAGATTGTGGATGGGGAAATGGAGAGGGAAAAGCACTTCAGGGGAACATATAGTACCATGGTGGTGAGAGACCTCAAAAGTACTATTGAGATTGAAGGGTCATGGTACCTGGCGGCCATGTGGAGTTTGGAAAAAGGTAAATGTCATAAAAAATATTTTTATAATGACTAGAACTAGCAGAAAATGTACTTTTATCACTTATTACATTGATGCCCTCACCTATTGCCCAGCAAACCCAAAATTTCTATGCCCCCTCTGTCCCATATCACCCTTGCCCGAAATAGGGGAATGGGAAAACACTTGCCCATCACCACCATCATTAGAATGTTATTTGAACTTTCCATCTCCGGAATCTTCCTTCATACATAGTTGGCATGGAGTTGGGCTCAGCAGGCAAAACTGACAGTCATCCTTCCATTTTTTTTAATCCTTTTTTTACAGAACAGCAAGCAGATAACTTCTTGCAATACCTCTTGCTAAGTTTCATTGTGTCTGCTTTTAGTAGCCTGATAAACTAGAAACACATGATCTTGAAGAGTCTAACACACATAATTTCAAAGCCAAGCTCAACATTTTATTAGCTATGTGATTTGGAGTGGTATGTACAGTCTCTCTGCTGCAATTGTAGGGTTCCAGAGTTAGCAAATAAAAATATAGGATGCCTCATTAAATTTGAATTTCAAATAAACAACACATTATTTTTTAGTATTAATACAACTCATCTAATCCACAGTATAATGAATACAGATAATAATATTATATGTATATAATGTGGTAAGTATTGCTACTATGGCAACATATGACAATTTATAAATTTATCAGAGTAACATGCTGAACTCAAACTTACACAATATTACATGTCAATTATTTAATAAAAAATAATAGAAATTTGTCAAATAAGTATATTTCATATAATACTTAAGACCTATTTTACTAAAATATTATGTATTATTTATTGGAAATTTCAATTTAACTGAGTTCCTTA